AACATATCTATCCTTTCAACAAACTATTTTGGCAAGTTATGGCTAGACCAAAAGAATCTTTTTAACTGTTTCTGTGTTGCCACTCTGTTTTCCCATGTTGCTCCAAAGGAGTCAGAAGTGTTGCCTGCCCTGCCAGACAATAGCCAACAGTGAGCAGAAAGGGAGTGCAGAAGGATGCTCGCTGGCGCCCGTGGGACAGGGTGGCAGGCTGTGGTTATCGGAGGGGAGAAATTGACCTATATTTCTAAATTAGCAACAAACAAAAAGGAAAACAAGCAAGCAAGCAAACAAACAAACAACAAAAAAAGCAAACTCACTACTAACACAACTGCATGCTGAAAACTAAACATTTCCATTTCTGCTACTGCAGTTCTGTCAAGCACATTTCGCAGCTTTCACTAAATTGGCAGTAGTTGGGTGAAAAACAGAGGTGCTAATAACAGAATATGAAAAGCCACCAAAATTATTTTTGGGTAAACTGGCAGATTACCATCATGACCCACATTATACAAAGCAAATTTAGAATAAATCAAAGTTAGCCTCTTTCTCTGCTCACGTATCTTCGATGAACCCAGCTAATTTTTCATTATGAAGATAATTGTTTCATGCCAATTTCACAGGGTGAAAAATTTGGAATATTGGTCCTCCACAAATAATGACAGGATTTTGTTCAGTAAAGGTCTGAGCAAAGCCAAACTACAAAACCTAAAGCTCCTAATGAACAAAAGACTGTGGCTTTCAGCCAGTGCTGTATAATAACTTATTTGCTTTCATTATTTCATTACTCTTCATGTTAATTTTCAACACACTTTTGCCAAAATGTCCAATGTAATTATGTACAAATCTTCAAGGTAAATTGCTTTTCTACCAACAAGGAAAAACTGGGAAAGGAGACAATACCCAAGCAAAGGAAGCAAAGAAAGAAAACCCAGAGATTGCCAAGGCAAGGGTGCCAGCAGAGCTCAGAAGAAAAGAGCAAGTAAAATCCCAAGGAACATGAGGAGACATAGGTAAAAGCTGACAAAACTACACGGGAGGCATTACAGAAGGATATACCTCGGAAACAACAAAGGGAACAAGCTAGGACATGTAATACCTCCTAGGCAACAAAATGAAAGGATTTGGTGCTTGTAAAGCCAAACTGGCTCTTTTTCCAAGAGCTCTTCACAGCGAGCCACGGCTCTACAGCCATATCCAGCATTCCCCAGTCTGCCAAGCTCTTCACTTCCACAGCTCACGCTCTGCCCCTCCACATCCAACAAGCACCGCTGCAGAAAGCACGAGGTAGCTCAGCACAGACATCAGGATGAATGTGGCAGCCAAGGGAAGCAGCAGGAAGGAGGCCCCTGGAGAGCAGGATCTGCACTGACACGGCTAACAAATTATCTCAATTGGCTGTAGCTTCCTGGCAGCCCCAGGAAGGGGAGGCCTTGGTCAATGTTCCCAGCTGCCAAGCAGAAATAGTAGCTCGCTCGCTGCTAGGTCGGACCAATGCTGAAGCAAGACCATCAGGTTCATATGATTAATGTTCCTTCAGACCTGTGGGCTTGGATAGGAGCTAGGTCTTATTAATTATCAGGTAAATAATCTCAGTGAAAAACAGACATGCAATTATGTAATTTCTGTAGAACTTTCCATTCTCTGAGACTGAAAAAAATTGCTTCACTACCTGTCATGGAGCATATGTTTTTATTTTGCTAGATAGCATGTAGACATTAGAGCTTAATCAAAGGGTTTTTTTCCATATATTAACACTACCTGTAAATAATTTAAATTTCATGAAAACTGTGTGGTGTGAAAAATAAGAAATCTAAAATGAAATAATTACTAAAACAACCACTTTAAAAAGAGAATACTGAAATACTTAGGAATGTTCCTATTATCAAAATTAACCTTCACATAAGTTTTTAAAGTTTTTCTACAAACACTCTGAAATTATGAAGTATTTTTAGTATAATAAGGTTAATCCTCAGTTTCTGTATCACAGTTTGTGTTGGACCACTCATGTTTTTATTTTTAATCTTTTTTTGAAGTCTTTTATGACTTTCATTTAACCAGTCTGCATAATGTAAATTTTGTGTTAGAATGCATATGATAATGTTCACTGATTGCTATACTGGATAATGTGTTTTATGTGCCTTAAGAGACATGAAAGAATGCAATGACTGAACTGACTTCCCAGAAGAAGAATTTTTCCCATTCCACTTATGTAGAGAAAACAAATGAAATAGAAAAGGGTAAAATCTTGACTTTTCTGAGTCAACAACTGTTTTGCCATTTGCCATATTTGCTTCTAGAGAGCCAGAATTCATCCCTGATTCCCTCCTGGAATCCTCCTCCTAACAGTGCCAGCTATCTCCTTACCAAACCTGGCTGTAGTAACACCCAGAGCTATTCCAAGGAGATTCTGCAATCCTTCCTCCCAGATCCAGGACCAACAGCTGACCACCACTAGCAAGAACTGTCATGGAAAAGACTATTTTCTTTCTCAGCTACCACACTGATACAGAGGGCATAAAGGCAAACCTCAGCCTGAGTATTTGTATCTATGTCTTTCAAAGGTCTTAGCACATAAGCCAAGAGCTTCTGAGGTCTCCAGAGATTTATAAGACAAATCCAAATAGTTTTAATATTTGATGCACTAAACTCCTGCTGCTACTTGAATGCAGTGAAGCAACAGCAGTCAGGCAGAGATGCCAACCAGGAAAAAGCTGCCCAAGCGCAACTGTGCCGAAGGGAACATCTGTGTGTGCATGTGCCCACCTAGGCCAGCAGTGGTGAGCACGGGGCCTGCTCTTGAACACGCAAATACATCAATTTTTTTCTTCACGCTCAGTGCTTAATTCTCCCTTAAGAATTCCACCACTGATCAAAACAAGAGCATATTTATTTCAGTACAAATATTGTCTGTACATACACTGAAAGACAACACACTAGATATTAGATTATAACCAAGGGAGCTAGGCTGCTTGTTTTGCTTTTAGGACTGATTTCACTTTCCCTTTATTAATGCAGCTGCCAGACAAATGACCTGTCCTGTACTAGTGACTGATCTTGAGCTTACATCTTAGTAAAATGAATTAGGTGCTAAAATCATTCGTGCTGAAAATACAAATGCCAAAGCTTCGCATGCAGTCCACTTCTGAGGTGCCAGAAAGCTTAAATAGAAAGAAGCAATTTAAAGGACATATTTCAAGTATCATTTCTGGCATTAATATGCCAGAAATGCATCACGTTCTTTTCTGCTCCCATGACAGAAATACAATTCATGTCCTGTTTCCCCAAATTTTTACCATACTACTCAGGGAAAGAAATGGCTTTGACATACTTAATTTGAAAAATTGAATACCAATTTTCAGATTAACACAACAACATTGGGCTCTTCCTAAAAGCTGCAGTTTTTAAAATGGTTCTAATATGGTATTTTACAAACTTTAGCCTTGTCAGCTCTACTCTTTGCTGGAATATTCATTAACCAGCCATTTACAATTTTAAAACAACCTCAATCAAATGTCTGTCAAAGAGCTAATTACATAACATTAATTATCTAATAATACTGATTTTTACTAAGCTATGCAATTAGCATCTGCTTATATATTTCATTATTATTTCATATTATTTCGTATTTTAAAGCTGAAACCTGTTATAAAATTTGAAAAAAAAAAGTTAATTTTCAGCAGAACCCATCAGAATGTACACAGGACAAGAATAAGATGGTGACATGTGTCTGAGTCATATCCACTCTTTCAAATTTAAAAGTGCCTAGATGTGCTGTGAAACAAATGGACATGCTATTAAGAGGAATTGGATTATTAAGATTTACAACCATTTCAAACCTTTTTTATGTTACTCCATATTTCTGAATACGGTAATTATATATTTAAAGATACTAATCTGATCTTAGAGTGGACATGAAATTTATCTGAAAAAGCTATAACTGTGTAATTGTTCTTTTAGAATATGGTGAGATACTGTGATTTTGTTTTAAAGAAAAGCGGGCTCATTACAGGATTTTTTCAGTGTTCCAAACAATTAAAATTGATGGGCAGGAGAATGGGCCACTTCAATATTCTGATTTCTAATTGACATTGTCATCATAGGAACAGTTTTTTTAAGAGAAAAATTTCAGTAATATTTTACAGGAGCATCTCTACACATATGGGATGGTAGAGAAAATTATACTTAAATACAGGTTTTAAAATAACAGCTGTTAACATTGTTAAATGAGTTTCCATGTAATCACATGGTGAGCATCATAGTAATCCTTTTTACCCAAAAGCTTAAACTTACCCATATGACTGAGCTTAAAAGAGGTCATTCTTCAAAAAAAATTAAAAATAAAAATTAATGCCTCCTTACCATATAAATGACGTGGCAAAAGAATATATTTTTGGTAGAATCCCCCATAAATAACTCTATACTTCACAGAGATGGGAAGGTTCTGCCAGCTGCTTCTCCAAGGAACACCAAATATAATGGTTTTACATTATCCAAAGATATAATAAAGTGACTAAAGACTATAGAACACAATGAGCAAAATTCAAGAGCTTTGCATGCCTAAATCCAAAGTTGTTATCACCACAGGTTACACTCATCTAGAGTAAGATTTGGATGCACTAAACAAAGTAAATGGGAAACTTTCAAAGACTGAATTATTAGGCCAATATCACATGACAGTTCTCACATCTGTGAATCACTTTCTTCTACTGAGTACTCTTGTTTTTGCAGCGTATCTCTTCAATATGTGATTCTCCAACATGCTTTCGTTCAGTAGGAAAGGTGGATATGCCACAACATTAGATTTATATCAAGTGTAGAGGCCACTAAAAATACTTAAACATCGGTCCTATTTGTATTTTTATATGAAAGTTACAGATTTCTCTATATTTCTGAGGAATTATTGATTCTTCTGTTTAAATTTACATATTTCTCTGAATATGTAAATATGTTTTCTTTTAGAAAAACAATACGATATAATACACACAAAGAAAACCTCTCACCTTCCAGATCTTCTTTTTCAAAATGTGTTTTGAGAATGGAGCGAGTTCCACCTCTATCCACAACAGCCTCTTCATCATTTCTCTTAAAAAGAGAAAAAATAAGATAGGTAAGCTGCTTCCCATTTGTAAACTATTGACAAGACAGAATAACATGAAACAAAGATAACTTTACTGTTTACTTTTCTCCATCAGAAATTAGGAAAAAGAAAGTCATTTTCCTTATCATAATCTGTTCCTTTTATACTAATTTTTACTGAGTTATGATTACATCTAACTGACATAAAGAAGCAAGTTTTTATGTTAAATCCTGCAGGATGATGAGTGAACTTTGGATACTGAGAACTAGGAAAAACACATGCCAATAAGACAATATAATATCTGACAAAGGCAGCTTTTTGTGTGCTCTTGAAGAGATTGTACTTTTTTTTGTCTCTATGATACATCCAGAACTATGTGCAGAATCCCCAAACTATTATCATTTGCACTCCTTGTACTTTGGGAAAGCTAGAGAATACTACTTTCAGTAACTAGATCAGGAGAAAGAAAATATTACTAGCATAAAAGCACCTGGCTTCACTTACTGGTGAGCAGAGCAGTAGCTGCAACAAAAGCAGACAGCACAGTCTCACAGTACAAAACCGTAAAGCTATTTTTTTAGTAACACATATTTTAGTTTGATTTTATACTGTAGCCATAAACACACTTTAATAGCATAAGTAAGGAACACCTTCAATCTCCACTGCAGCATACAAGAACTATGTGCTGAAATGATTTATAGTGATCAGGCTAAAAACGCTAGAGAAATTCGTGACTTTCAACCACTGTGGACATAAAAATAGTCGTGATTCCCTGAATATTATATTTTCAGCCATGAGGCACTGGATGCAGTGCTAAACCAAATACTGGCTTCACTCTGAGTATAACATCACCAATGTGTAATAAAATAAAATAAAATAAAATAAAATAAAATAAAATAAAATAAAATAAAATAAAATAAAATAAAATAAAATAAAATAAAAATAAAACAACATTTAAATCACTGTTGCTAAATACAGCCTGTATTTGATTTGGAAGATACTGAGAATGATTTTCCATGTTGAGTTGAAATAAAAAGGATGCATTATACAAAAGCATCAGTTAATACACTATGAATGTGTATTTACTTGATATTAACGGAAGGGTTTTAGTAAGTCATATCTGAACTAAAAGTGCCTGATTTCAATATATAAAATTGTTAACTTAATGAAAGACTGAAGCAAAGGGATTTGAATATCATCATTACATGCTAAATATAAGCCTATATGTAGAATGCAATAGAACATAACAAGAAATTATACCACACGAGCACCTCTCCTTAGAGAGCAGATGCCGTAGGCAAAGAAATTCACATCAAGATCTGACTATCATGTATTCCAGATCTAAGTTTTTGTTTCAGGCTCCTCTCTGTCTTAAAAATAGCTGTCACACTGCAGCTATCTTACATAGAAAAGTCCTAGGAATGTGTCAGTACCAAGCATCTGGGCTGCTAAAGAAAGATAGAATGAGGGAGATGAAGAGCCTTACATGGTCTTTATTACTGCTGTGGAACAGATAGTAGCAAGTTACAAAAACCTGGCAATGAGAAAAGGCCAGGTATTGAAACTGTTATTTTTAATAATTTGGAAATAGCTAGTGATCTACTAGGGTGCACCTGAACAGTCTAATACCGCACAAACCATTTGATCATCTCAGATAAAATTAATCCATTATTTTAAGCAGTAGAACATAGCTGGGCGTGTGTGGAACAATGCCATGCCCGTGGGTGAATGGTTAGGCTGGATGCCAAAGGCCAAGTATTACAGCCGTGGCAGAAGCCGTGCTATTCGTGCATAAGTCATAGCCAACAGCATTTTACTGATCCTGAAATGCCCTTATGGAAGCAATGCTAGTGGAAAGTCTGTAATGGCAAAAATATTAATATGCTGGACATTTCAAAGCCTTTACAGATCTTCTAAGTAAACTAAACACAAACTAGTTCATTAATATTTATCAAAATATGCTCATACACTTTGACTTCTCCTTTCCCATGTGTTTGATTTTCAGCTTTTGGCAATCATCATCTTCCCTGCCTCCTCTTCCTGTAATGTCACAGCAAGTCTCAGCAGCCTTGCCTCATTCTCAGAAGTGGGTTTCTTCCATTAACATTACAGGGGGGAAAAAAACAACTTAATTGGGAGGTTTGTGCTCTAGCCAATTCCCGTGTCAGACTCTGAGCGAAGTCCAATTAAGCAGGCCTTGCACTGAGCACTCCGCTTCCCAGGGAGCGGCATGACAGCCACCTTGCATTTACCAGTGCAAGAGTCACCCTGTTTTCAGTGGGGAAGTCAGTCCTGTGATTCCTCTACTGTCTCCTTTGGGGAGGGGGCAAAGGTGGGAAGGGCTGGCTGTTAGTTTATCACAATTAATCTCATTTGGAGGTAAGCACTATAGCAACACAATAGTGGCAAATCCTTTCCCCTTTCTCATGATCATTAGACACTAGAAAATCAATTTCACTTGGGAATTCTCTGTTTTCTTTATTAGCATGTCAGGAAAAATGTGGAAATTATTAAGTACTAAAATAAATGAGTGTTTGAAACAAAAAATATAGGCAAGATCAACCATATGATGTCATGGAAGACAGAACTCATTCTTTGGATGACTTTTAATGCACCACAAAACCACTGACCTCAACTTTGATATCCTCCAAGTATTAAAACCATGAACCCCATAGTTTTGCCTATCAATTGCAGAATAAGGCATGAAGATTAATGTTTCTTAGAGTCACAAAATGCTTGTGCCAGAATTCTAGATTTCTTCCTTTCCTTCCCTCTTTTAAGATGATGAATGGTGCACAAATCTGCAAGGACTAAGGTGTAGGAACTATACTGATGTACTGGAGCAGTTTGCATATAAATTTGTGGACACACTGACCAGATATGAGTCCTTGGAACTGTCCATTATTGCAACGAGTTGCTTGCTGAGTCCAGTGAACACTGTGGTCTACTGCTTAAAGCATGAGAGAGGGATCCAGAAAGTGCCTGAGCTCTAATCCTGGCTCTGTCACTTGCCGTGTGGCCTTGGAAAAGTCACTTAATCTCTGTGCCTCAGCTTCCCCATCTGTAAAATAGGGATAATAATACTTACTTACCTACCTTCCTCACTGGGCTTCTCTGCACCATAATTAATATTCACAGTGCATTTCAGAACTGGAAAGCACAGAAGTGCTAAGTAGTTCGATTCAGGAAAGTGCCCAGTTTGCACACATAAAGAGATGATGATAGAAAACAGTAAACTGATAAATAATCAGCAACATTTAGGGATACAAAATATAACTTCATAACACAAAACCAACTTATATTAATGCTGCGCAGCAGTTTCACACTGCACACCTAGGACAACTAAGTGGATAAATTTTACATTATGAGTAAAGACCTACTGGGCCTGCTTCTTCTTGGTCTCATCAAAAGCAATGCTACAGAAGTCAGTGGAATTATGTGTTTTGTTTGCAATAAATTTCTCATATTTATAAAAAATCTGAAAATTCTCTTTTTGCTTTTTATTTCTAAGCCGTTTAATTTTTATATACTTAACAGACAATGACTTTACACAAGCCAAGAGAAAACTTTCACAAAACAGCGCAGCATCAACAAACATAATGGGAAACAAATAATGCGTCAGGAACAAAAGAGCACTGAAGGCTTGTAGGTGAAAAACAGAAACTTTAATGGTACCACCACTGGGAAATCCTCTACCAGAGCTTTCAGCAACTCAGTCCAGGACTTCACCTCTTACTGCGTTCATTAACCTGTGTTCATTTTCCATATGAATGTTGACATGTCCTATACCACAGAGCAGCATCTGCTGCAGACAGATACATAAACACATAAAAATATTTACACACATATACACACACATACATAAATACACACAGAAAATGTGTTTTAATGAAAAATGAAATTGTTATTTTTGTCTCTTCATTCTAGAAAATTTTAAACACAATAATGAGTAAAGAAAATCAGTGAAGAGTCATTCTTCACACTCTTACAGTGAAACTGCATGCTATGAATTTGTAACACATATTTGAAGTTATTTATATTTAAACAAAATGAAAAGCAAATACAAGATCTTAAAAGACTCCTGTCTTATATTCACATAGCCATGAGGAAAGAGATCATCAATGACTACTAAGTAGACAAATTTTATTCTCTAGATTCAGAACCTATGAAACAACATAGAGCAAGGCTGCAACTGTTGCCAGAAGTTTTGTGGGTTTTTTTTGTTGTTGTTGTTTGTTTGTTTGTTTTGAAGGAGGCTGAGGGATAGAGGCAGGGAGTGGACGAGGAGGAAGTCACACATGGTTTAGGTACCTGCAGCAAACATCTAAAATACCCTGGGTATCAGCCAGGTTCAAGGATACACAGAACATTCCCAAGCTTCAAATATGACTTCCTATTTGGGAAAGCTTCCCACATTGCTTCGTTGTCCCTAACTACTAATCCTAACATGTTACAAAGAAGTTGATGTTTAAACCTGCCACCTCTCAGATCAGTGTAGTGCCACTCTACGTATACAAAATGTATGTCCTTTCACTATGTGATAAAATTCAATAAAAGGTAGATGACTGACTGGAAAGCAGAAGAATGAAATTCCTTTCAAAGATGTATCTGCACAAAGACATATGACATATTTTTAAATATTTATGTGCCAACATACAAACATACACTTGCAGAAATTCAATACAAATCTGGGTGAGGGAATTAGGATATATTGTTTATAAAGCATGCTACAGTGATGAGAAGGCAGATTAAAATCTAGGTGACCATATCTACATTTGAAACTATTTTCATATTCATTATATGTATTTATTAAAATATTTTCAATATTTTCAATATCAAGAATGAATTGCAAGGAGTATTCATATTTCAAAAAATGCTTGGGGGTTCAGTTATATTCTTAATGCACCCCCAATACAAACTGGATCATAGCCAAAAAGAATCCTGCTTCAATATCTCCTTTTCTGTAAAATACAAGGCGTAGCTGAAGTCATTTTGATATTTTACC